GAGAGAAATCCTTCATCCCAGACCAGCAGGTACTTCTCCTTCTCCCAACAGCTGAGAACAAGTTGCTGGCGAAATGGTAGGGCCCATATACTGCGCTGAGGAAGTTGAGTGCAACCATTTATGAGATAGAGAAGCCAGAGAGGAGGAATCCAAAGCAAAAATTCCACATCAATCTGCTGAAGGAGTGGAAAACCCAGGAAATCCCACCCCAACAGCAGATGTTTGTTCGGACAGTGGAGGAGGAGGGTGATGTTGTGGGTGAGTTCACTCCTGTCAGTCACAACTCTGTATTCCTTGATCTCTCCCACCTCTCTATAACCCAGCAGGCCATTGTTCCACGAGATCTGAATTTGATGCTTGTCCTCTGCCAAGGCTCGGTCACCTCATTGGACAGGTGGGTCAAGCAGGGTTCATTGCCACCCTGGACCTGTACAAAGGCTACTGGCAGGTGCCCTTGTTTAATGCTGCCAAGTTTCTAACTGCTTTCAAAGTGCCATCCAGAGCAGTGTTATTTGGAATGCATGTGCAACAGGAGCTTCCAAACATCACACAACATTCAGCTGCAGCTTCTCCTACTGCATCTCCTTCACAACCTGACACTGCAGCTGCAACTCCCTCCACACTGGGGTCAAGTCTCCTGTCCTTTACAATGGAGGAGGTGAGAGCGGAGTTCAAGAGGCTATGTCCTGGAAAGGCAACAGGCCCGGATGGTGTGTGTCCAAAGATTTTAAAGGAATGTGCAGCCCAGCTAACTTAAGTCTACAAACAGGGAGGGTCCCGGTCCTGTGGAAAACATCATGTCTTGTTCTGGTCCCTAAAGTAAGGCGACCGGCTGAGATAAATGACTACAGACTATTGGCCCTCACATCACACATCATGAAGACGCTGGAGCGGCTGCTTCTCCACCTTCTGAAGGCACAGGTTGAACATGCACTTGACTCCCTACAGTTTGCATACAAAGAACATATTGGAGTGGATGATGCCATCCTTTACATGCTCCACCAGGCCCATGCTTACTGGGATGAGTCAGGTAGTTACATGAGGATTATGTTCTTTGATTTCTCAAATGCATTTAACACGATCTAACCACCCATTCTTAAAGACAAGCTGGAAGGGATGGGGGTGGATCTCTGCTTCACGTCCTGAATTGTGGATTACGTGACAAGACGACCACAGTACATCAGGCTGAGTAACTGTGTCTCAGGGACAGTCGTCAGCAGCACTGGGGCTCCACAGGGGACTGTTCTGGCTCTGTTCCTGTTCACCCTGTATACGGGGGACTTTAAATACAACTCTGAGTCCTGCCGGATTCAAAAATACTCCAATGACACAGCTATCATTGACTTTCGGAGGTCTAGGCCCATCCTTCAGCCAGTCAATATTTGAGGGAAGGACACTGAGGTGGTGCACATTTATAAATACCTAGGTGTGCACCTGAACAGTAAACTGGACTGGTCCCTGAACACGGATGCCATCTACCCTAAAGGGGCAGAGCCGGCTCTTTTTCCTCAGGAAGCTCAGGTCCTTTGACGTCTGCAGTGAAATGCTGCACATTTTATGAGTCAGTGGTGGCCAGTGTACTCTTTTATGCTGAAGTCTGCTGGGGCAGCAACATGTCAGACATGAACACAAAGAAACTGGACAAGCTGGTAAAAAAGGCTGGGTCTGTGCTTGGCAGGAGTCTGGACTCACTGAGGACTGTTGTGGAGAGATGCATGCAATGTAAGATGGAGGCCATCTTAGACAATACCAACCATACTGTCCACAAAATTCTGGCAGGACAGAGAAGCAGCTGCAGCAGCAAACATCTCATCTCACTACACTGCAGAACACAGAGGTTCAGGAGATCCTTTGTTCCCACTGCCATCAGGCTATACAACACCTCAGCCAAAGGAAGTGGACAAATCTAATTATTATTGTTTATTTATTATTAACTGTTTTTATTATTATTATTATCATCAACAATGAGCTAATGGACACATGAATTTCCCCTAGGGGATAAATAAAGTTGTATCTAATCTATCTATCTATCATCTATCTATCTATTTATCTATCTATCTATTATTATTATTATTGCTGCTGCTGTTGGTTTTGTTCTCATTATTAGACATCCATGAAGCAAAGCCGTTTTTGTGGTCCTTATAAGAGTTAACCCGCTTCTTTTTGTTCTCATTTCAAGGAACAATATTGTTTTTGTTGTCATTATTAGGGGTACTTGCCTCAAGGTGGCACTGCAATAATTTGAGACTGTGACAATATTGGCTATTTGCCTATGATTTGAGGCTGGTGCCACGGAGGACTTTCATTCATTTAAAAGTTATTTATTTTTAATATTAAGTCCACAGATTGAATCGGATGTTCACCATTCATCTTGGACTTATCATTTCCCAATTTTTCAATCCCAAAGCCCCAATCTTCAGGTCCAAATCTCCAATTGCCCTCTGTTAGCATTTCAACCAAACTGCAGTAAAGAGACAGCCTGCTGCTGCAGCTGTGCAGCAAGTTTTTGCAAGCAGATTTTCACAATGTTCTTGAAATGTGAATTTCTTTTTATGTAAAAAATCTGTCACCCTTGCAACAGCATCCCTTTTTATGGTGTAGTGGTTAAAAAAATCTGTTAAAAACTTACAAGTTGAAACCTTGTGTAGCAGGTGCGCTGTTCCTCGCCCCTCCTAGTGCAGCGCTGTGGTTTTTGTCCCACTGATTGATGGGCGGGGCCACACCTTTTATATAGGGTTCTGGTTCCCTCCGCCTCTCTCTCTTGTCTTCCGGGCCATTCGTCCACTGGGGTGGGGTGGTGTGGTTGGGGCAGGGGTGAGGAGCCATTGTGGGGGGGCTGTGCGCACACCGGAGCGCTGTTTGGCGTGTTGGCCATCGTGGCGCATGCTCGTTCTGCAGTGTACAGGTATGCACACCGCCGTTCTCCCTCCTGCTTAGTGTGCCATATTGCGCAGCAGTGACAGTACATTCTCTGCTGCAGGTGTCGGATTACTGTCGCCGTGGGGACCGGGCTGCCCCGCTGGAAGCCCCTTGCGTGGGTTTGTGCATCCTCGTGGTCAGTTGGCGTTGTCCGTTCTCCCTCCTCCTCCTTCCTTCTTGTTCACCCCTGGCTAATTATTCATTTATGCCACAGTTTGGACCAGGCAGAGGTCGGAGAGTAACTCCGCTGCTTGGCCTACTGTGACGCTGCGCCGGTGAGGTCATTCGGAAACTGATTCACCGCTTCGGCTCGCTGGACGGCGTTGCTGTTTTGGCTCTATCGGGCTACATGGTTTTACTATTTGTTGTTTTGTTTGTCTGATTTTACTAGTACGTGGTTCCGCTGTCTAATTACCGCTGTGTCGATGCGGCTGTCGTAGCCGGCTTTGCCGCTGTTTTTGTTTATTGGTTTATACAAGTATTTAGTTATTTTGAACATTGATTTAATTTCATTTGATTTCTTTTGTATTGTTGGTTGTGTTCTATTTGAGATTTAATTCTTTTTGTTTTGTTATGATCATTCATTTGAGTACCGTTTCATTGAGTTTGATTTCTTTTGTAGATTGTTAATTGCCTGTCATATTATATTTGATAAGTTAGATTATTTTGTTATTTACTTTATTACTTATTATTTTGTGTGTGTGTGTGTGTAAAAAAAAAAAAAAAAAAAAAAAAAAAAAGTGTGGCCATTTTATTGTTCTTTCTCTCCCTGTGGACAGGTGCTGTGGGCTCCGGGCGGCGACCCAATCCTTGGTGGCGGTTCTTCACGTTTTCAGTTTGTGTGTGCAGTGTCACGGAGGTGTTTTAGTTTCCCCCCCTCCCTCATTGGTTTCGGGCCGCCGAGGTAACCCAGCACTGTCCATCCCCCCTTTTCCTATGGCCCAGTGTCTAACATTATGTGCTTAGACAGTATCCGTGGAACATTCTTTTAGTAAACATTGTTAATAAAGTTTGTATGATGAACATTGTCTTTTGCCCCGTGGTGATTACGAACTTGCGTAGCTTTTAGTTTTTGTTTATAAATATTTATTTCCTGGGGTGCAATTCCCCAGGTGGCGTCGGCAACAAAACTCATCCTATGACCGCCACTCTTGCCACACTTGCTTGCAGAGGCAATACATTATTCAAGAATGAAAAAACCTAAATATAAAAATACAAACTGTTTTGGCTGTGTAAAACCTAAGGTGGGCCAGAAGTTCAAATGATTGTATTCTGCTGCATTTAAAGTCCAGTGAGTTTCTTGCAGTGTTGGAGGACTTGAACAGGTGAACTTTGCTGTTTTAAAATGAACAAAAAGTTTAAAACCTTCCAACTTGGAAACTGGAGACACATTTAAAAACAGTAACCGTTGGCCCTCTAACCTATAGTATTGTAACCACAAGTGCTGTCTCTGCCGCTCCACCAACATCCCCCACTTTTGTGGCCAAATCAGACATATTGAAACTGCTTTCAGCAATCTTGGAAAAATCGACCGACTAACATTGATGAAAACTGAAATATGTTGGTAGTACTTCGATATTAACACCATATATATTAATATGCTTCACATAAACATGATCACTCGATATGCCGCTTTCATTAGTTTCATCTTTAACATAGATAAATTTCCATTGTTCCATAAGTTGCTGGACGATTGCAGTACTTTGAACTGTATTCATGTTACAGTCACACAATTTACTTCAGCTTCCATATACCTATTACATTTCAGGTCTTCAATATGAGACAGAGACACAGAACCTCATTGTGGCATGGGAGTCTACTTCATGTCAACTGGACAGACCTATGTAAAGATCAGGTTTTTCCTTTGTAACTTTTGCATTTTTCAAAGTGACCGTCAATCTATCCATCTATCTTTACCCCAAATGAATATATCAAAATCAAATGACAGGTTGCTGTATAAAAAGGCTTCCTTACTTTTATTTTATAACAGAAAACACACTTTGACAAAACCCTTAAAGACACTTAGCTTGGAATTTTCTTACATCAATATCATCACATTTGGTCATGTCTAACAGTTTTTCAGCTGAACTAATCCGAACACACAACCTACTGAGTTGCACCTTCCTACTGCCTAAATTCAAGTTCTGTGATTTTATTTTATTTTTTTAGTAGCTGCAATTCATTACAATAATTATTCTCAAATTGATCATGGATCCCTATGTTGAGTCTATTTGCCCTTTCTAAATTTGCTCGTTGTAGCTGCAGCCTTCTGCTTTTTCTTTGCCGATCCTTTTATCTCCGGTTCCTATGAAAGACAAGAAATATAACAAACAAGTTCAACATTAAGAAAATAAGTGAACATGTGTAAGAGCAACTTGAACTAAGAAAAACAGTGGAAAATATACAACAGCATCAAAATATAGCATCTTATTTAACACCTACTTACCTCTTTACAGTTAAGAAAAAAAGGACTAAATCAGTCAAGACAGGGGATACCAAACCTAACATACTACTGTAGGGGATTAGATCAGTGTTTTTTTTTACCAATCATTTTAGAAACAGACAAACTAGTTTTCCTAGATGTACCTTGCGTTTGGAGGACAGAGATCCAGTGACAGAGAAGAAAGAGTCCAGTCGTCCTTGCGTGCTGCCCTTTCGACTCTTTACAATCTTCTTATAGCCATTACGAATCCTGTCCTCACTGGACAAAGGTACACAAATAAATTAATACATAAATCGCTGCATTCCATCCTTTGCGCAATGTAATTTTTATTGGAAGTTTCCTTCAAATATATTAAAAGTAGCAAAATAAGAATGTGAAGAAGCAACTGAAACTAAAACTATAAACAAATAAGACAACTGAGACAAGAAAATGAAGACAAGTGACTAAAAAGTAGCTCTAAATAAAGATGGAATATATATATATATATTTATATATTTATTTATTAATACTAAACCTCATATTATAAAATATAAAATATTTAAAAAAAGGTTGTGTGCCAAGGTGATAAGCTCTGCCTCCAGACTGTCAACAGTGCAATCTAGAGGTCAAATGTATAACAATTAACTCACTATGAGACATCAATGGCCTTCAACATCCATCATCAATGCAAGAAAACTCAGTAAGCAAATCAAGCAGATTAATCCAACATGTTGTATGTGATAAAGAGTCTGCTGATGGTTCACCTGAACTGTTTCTCATTACACATAAATTGGATCAGGCCTTCCTCATCTGGCTCACTCCATTTCAGTTCCACTGAGGAACAATCCACCACTTCCGGCTTCAAAAACAAACCCCTGGCCTCTTTGTACAGCCAGTCCTCAGGAGCAGGGTGCTTCTGCATGAAGGTGAGGAAGACGCACACAGAATCAGAACCAAAGTACATTTGTTCATATGCTTGAACTACAGGATTGTAGCAAATCAACTTACGCTGGGGTCAATGTTTTCGAGGATCTTCTCGATGCAGCCGTGCTGTCTGATCAGGTCGATGGCTCTTTTGGGGCCGATCCCTTTGATGGTGCCACAGTAGTCACAGCCCAGCAGAATACACAAGTCTATGAACTAGGATGGATAAAAGAAAGAAGAAGCAGTTTAAATGTCAAAAAACTAAATATCAGTCCTTATGTTCCTTGACCAACTGTGCTGATAGTTCCACTGCACATACAGTTTCTCTGCATTTTCACACCTTAAGTTTGTTTGCTGTGGTCCAATTCAGTTGATGAGTTTGTAAATTTGTAGTACAGGGGTCTCCAAACTTTTCTACTCACAGCTAATTTGACCAAATAAAAAGGGGCTAAGCGCTACTCATGTCTAATATTGCTGGTTACATTTATTCACATATCGTATGAAAACTATTCTCCAAAACAAATCAGACGAATAAGATAAAACTCATCAAATATCAATATCCAAAACTCATATTTTGTACCAAAAACCTCTGAAACTTGCAGACATCACATCAGTGTCAAAAATCTGAGTCATGATTCAGCCAAACCTGAACACACAGACATGATAACACCACTGCAAATAAACATCCACACAGGGCTCAAGTTGAAGCCCACAGCTTAACTCACTTAATCCATTGCAACATATTTCTGGTTTCTTCTAAAAATTGAGTTATATATCTGTTCTTCTATCCAGAAGAATTGCAAACACTGCATGTCGCCTACAGCTACCTGATATAAACAAACTTGACAGCGCAACTCATTTGACTGACAACTGACAAAGTCAAACAACAAATAATGATATGGTGTGCGTGTGTGTGTGTGTGTGTGTGTGTGTGTGTGTGTGTGTGTGTAGGGGTGGGCATGATTAATCGATGATCGATAATTGATCGTTAAGAATTTTGTCGATCATGGAATCTGATCGATCTAACGTGTGTATCAATGAGGTTGTGTTGTGTAGTGTGTCTTGAAGCAATCCAATGAATTTCACCACATGGCAGCAACCAGCCGGGACGCAATTTAAATTTTCAACAGAGAAAAATGAATACTCAGCTGCCGGCACGCAGGCTGCCGTATGCATCGCAGGTAAACATGAAGAGAGCAAGCCGAAGTTTGGTGTGGGGACATTTCGAGCTGAAAAATAACGAAGCTCATTGTAAACATTGCAATGCTGTATATAAGCGCCGTAGCTTTGGCTTATTATTTGTGAAGAGGTTTGGCTCATAGCCTCTACCTCCGCTGCCATTAGGAGCTGTCATTATATCTTTTTTGTTCTGTTTAATAGTTAAACAATTAAACTTTAACTGCCTTGTTTAAGAGGATTTTTGCTGGACTTATTTCTTCTTGGAATAAAGATTTAATTGAGGAAAAAGATGCTTTCTTTAGTATTTTCTGGCATAGGCATTTTTTAATATAAAAAAATTAATAATGAATCGATAATTGATCATTAATTTTCCCGATGATCGGTCAAGGAAATTTCTTCAAGTGCCCATCCCTACCCAGAACCTTTGGGTGGGCTACTCTAAAACGGGGTAAGCTACTAGTAGCTCGCTATTCACCTGTTGGACCCCCTGCTGAAGCATTTTCCCCTTGGTTTGGTTTACTTTCACACAGAAAAACTCAAGTGAACCAAAATGCATCACTACAAACCACACAAAGACGTTCAAGCCACTTATTGGTCAGATTGCCCAACGAGAGCAGATAAGTAAATACAGGAAGAAGGTTGTGTGTTCTGGACTGTGACACCCTAACACAACATCTGAGAAGAATGGACTTAATGTTGAGGATGTACAATGACATGCTAACCATCAACATGTTAGACTGGAGACATGTTTGGTAAGTGTGATAGGTTAATGGTCTTTTATCACCATCAGTTTGAATTTACAGTATTTACCTCTCGGGTCATTGACTAGGGGATAGGGTATTTCTTCATATATGAGTTGTGCATCTCTTCCACTACAGAAGGATCCTGGTTCACCCTTGCTCCCAAGCATGGTGGAGACACATTAATAACTCCTGGACTGACAGAATGGTTGTCCGTACCTGATCGATCAGAGCACATAGTACCAAAGACCTCTGCCTGTAGAGATTTGAGTTGCACTTTGTCTGCAGAGACTAGCGACTAACCTTGAGTTTAGATCTTTTTCCCATCTGTTTAGTGTTGGTTTATCAACTTGCTGTGTGATGACAGACCAAGTTGTTAGAGCAATGAATATAATAATGAAAGCATGCTTTGCAGCTGATTTTAGGAGTATAGTGCTTGGTTTTTGTGATGAGTGGAAATTCCCACGAGTTGCTGGTGCTATTGATGGTACTCACATTAACATCAAGGCATCAGCAGACTACTACAATCGAAAGGGACAGTGTTCAATCATTTTATAAGGTGTAGTAGACGATAATATTTCTGGAAGTTTTTGTATATATATTTGAGTATAAACATGGGACAACCAAGTCCATGACACCCATGTTTTTGCACTGTCATTGCTCTCTGATTGAGGCGTGTGTAAATGTGTTTCCAGGACTGGGCTCATTGGCCAATCACAATCACTGCCTGTCACTCCCCCTCCCTGGTCAGCTAACACAGCTAATAGAATCTAATTCTGAGGAATACACTGAAACACTGCACTGCACAGTAGGGTGAAAGTTTGCAGGGTTCTAAATCAGGACTATGAGAAGTGGTTCTTAATATCTACCTCAGATGAAAAATGACTCTCTAGATTATACAGAATAATGATGTGCTTTACCCCTCTCAAAGTCGGAAAAAAACTTTACCTGTTCATGGTTCAGGCCAATGTCTTGCAGGATAAGACTGAAGTGGAACTCTTGGATAGGAAGTTTCCTGAAACAAATAAATTCCTTTATGTATTGTCAAGTGCATAAATTAAAACATTGCTAATAAATTACTGACTATTATTTGTGTTGCAACACCGTGCATATTGTCTCCACATGCAAATATACACAACTATCCAACCTCAAATAATTTAATAGTGAGATGGGACTGCCATAACAAATGTTAGGTTCCCACTGGTACATGGTGAAACAAACTAGTCTGCGATCATCAAAATTTTATTACTAGTTCATTAAAAAGAGAAGAGAACGGTATGGGAGAGAATTCCTCTAAAGTTTTATTAATATGACAGTGGAAAATCAATGATGTAGGTGTAACATTACTTTGCTTCACTTGCAGTGAGGTGTCTGAGCAGGACATTTGTACCAAAGGTCAGCCCATCCATATCCTCTGTTGCCGTGGCAAAGACCTTCCCTGCTTTAACCAGAGCGGCACAGCTGGCCTCTGCCTCACACGGAGCCTGCCATACAAAACACATCTAATTACATTTAACAATAATTTACCCAGAACTGTCCTGTTGCAATTAATTTCTCTGGCATGGGGAAAAACACTTTGTTCTACAGTATGCCTGGTAACTAGGGTCATTTTAAAAAGAAGAGGCATTTTTCACATTTATTATGTTGCAGCCTTATGCTAAAATTGTTTCATTTCCCCATATAGACAGGTGTGTGCCTTTCCACATCATGTCCAATCACTTTACCAAAGGTGAACTCCAATCAAGGTGTAGAAACATCTCAAAGATTATCATGAGAATTAGGAGGAACCTGAGCTAAACTTCAATTGTCATACCAAAGGGTCTGAATACTTACGTGATGTTTATGTGATATTTCACTTTTTACTTTTTAATAACTTTGCAAAAGAAAAAAATAACATTTTCTGTTTTGATTTTGTCATTATAGGGTACTGAGTGTAGATTGATGAGGAAAACAATGAATGTACATGATTTTGGCATACAATTGCAACATAACAAAATGTAAAAAAAAAAAAAAAGTGAACCTGTGGTCTGAATACTTCTTGAACACACAGTGCAGTAACTCAACAAATTTACTTGAGTTTTTCTCCAGATATATTGAGGATACGGATATTCCTGTTCTGGTGTGAAAGACACATCAAACATATAATTCTTATGACTTTTTCAAATTGTAATTCATGAATATTCCATACTTTATGGTGCAATAAAATATCGATTTAACATTTTGTGTCTTTAGGGGCCTGAAGTCTGTCCTTACAATAAAAAAGTAAGTGGGAAAGAAATTATAAAAATGTAAAATTATCAGGGGAAGGATTCAAGGATTCACACTGTTCTACAAAATCACAGTCAATACAATGTGAGGAAATTCTTAAAAGCCAGCAAGAGATGCAGTCAAATCTTGATCTAACCTCAATGTAAGGCACTCCCATCAAGGTCAGCAGGTTCTTGCACTCATCATTATGCTGCTTGGTGACTTTTACCAGACGCTTGGTGAATTTGTCAATATTCTCTTGTTCCCCTAGGGTTGACAGAAAAAATTTGACATTTTAATATATAACCAAATTGATAAATTTCTACACTCAAAAAAGTAACACTGATCGCACTGTTTTACCCAAACTGCAAAAACAGAGTTTTTGACTTCAATGACAAAAAAGAGCTTGCATAAAAACATGCCACAATAAATCCAAACTGGCACCATTTATGACTATAATCCAAGTGCGAAAAGCATTAATTGTACCCAGTTCCTGAGCTTGAGCAAGCATCTTCTCAGCTTCTGCCCTCCTCTCCCCTCTCTTCTCCAGCTGGGGGTGAAAAGAAGAGCAAACACAGTTAAGAGAGAGAGAGGACAAGAGAAAGATGACGTTACAGTCCACATAGCTCGTAGTTCTTTGAATATATTGGTATATTTTTTGTCGATTGATGTTTTTTATTCTATGCCATTGTTTCCTCTGACGATGGAGAAAATAATGTACAAAGGATGAACTCCGGCTTTAATGTTTACCAGATATGGAATTAAACATCCCATACCGGCTGAGCTTAAGAAGCCGTACCGTGGATGCAGAGCTGGGGCTAAGCTAAAGGCTAGGAGATGGAGATATAAGCCTTTTCTACCATCGATCCTCATGGGAAATGTAAACTACCTGGCTAACAAGTGTGATGAACTGGAGGTACTTGTCAAGAGCCAGCGAGCATATCGTGAGTGTATTCTCATGTGTTTCACGGAGACCTGGTTAAACGACAACACTCCCGACCGTTGTGTAGATTTACCCAGCTTCACGAGCGGACACAGACGCCAGAGGAAGTGGGTAGAATAAAGGTGGAGGACTGCTTCTGCTTGTGAACAATACATGGTGCAACCCCGGTCATATCACAGTGAAGGAAAAGATCTGCCATTGGGATATTGAACTGTTGGCAGTTGGTCTTAAACCATACTATGTACAGAGGGAGTTCTCACACATTGTAGCCATTGTTGTTTACATTCAACCATGAGCAGAGCCTGCAGTTGTGATGCATTCATTGCAATTCATTAACCATGTCACTCTTACCTCTCACCTGACTGACTTCACTCAGTATGTTGACTGTCCCACAAGGGAAAATAAGACACTTGATCTGTTGTATGCAAATGTCTACACTGCTTCAGCTCTACCATCACTTGGCAGATCAGATCATAATCTGGTTTTTCTTCAGCCTTCCTACAAGCCCTCAGTACTAAGGCAGGCTGCAATCATCCGCTCATTCAGGAACTGGACCCCGGAGGCCAGTGAGTGTATAAAAGACTGTTTTATACACTCACTGTACACTGCTTTCCAAACAACAAACCCTGGATCACTAGTAACATCAGGACCCTCCTCAACCAGCAAAAGGAGGCCTTCAGGGATGGAGACAGGGAGAAGCTCAGGTGTGTGCAACATGAGCTGAAGAGGAGATTAAATCAGGCGAAGGACTACAAAAGGAGAGAGTACACAGCAGCACAACAACACCAGAGGTGTGGAAGGGGATGAGGACCATCACTGGCTATAAAGAAAACAACAGCCAGGCAACATCAGGTGATGTGGATAAGGCCAATGAGTTCAACCTGTTCTTCAACAGGTTTGACACAGCCTCACCTGTTTTCTCTCCCACTGCTTCAGCTGCAGTTTCTCCTACAGCATCTCCTTCACAACCTGACATTGCAGCTGCAACTCCCTCCACACTGGGGTCAAGTCTCCTGTCCTTTACAATGGAGGAGGTGAGTGCGGAGCTCAAGAGGCTACATCCTGGAAAATCAGCAGGCCTGGATGGAGTGTGTCTGAGGCTGTTAAAGGACTGTGCAGCCCAGCTGGCTGAGCCTCTCCAGAGGATCTTCAACTTAAGCCTACAAACAGGGAGGGTCCCAGCCCTGTGGAAAACATCATGTCTTATCCCGGTACCTAAAGTAGGACGACCGGCTGAGATAAATGACTACAGACCAGTAGCCCTCACATCACACATCATGAAGACCCTGGAGCAGCTGCTTCTCCACTTTCTGAGGCCACAGGTTTAACATGCACTTGACCCCCTACAGTTTGCCTACAAAGAACATATTGGAGTGGATGATGCCATTCTTTACATGCTCCACCATGCCCATTCTTACTTGGATGAGCCAGGTAGTTATATGAGGATTATGTTCTTTGATTTCTCAAGTTTTCACAGGGGACTGTTATGGCTCTGTTCCTGTTCACCCTGTATACTGCGGACTTTAAATACAACACTGAGTCCTGCCACATTCAAAAATTCTCCAATGACACAGCTATCATTGACTTTCGGAGGTCTAGGCCCATCCTTCAGCCAGTCAACATTCGAGGGAAGGACATTGAGGTGGTGCACATTTATAAATACCTAGGTGTGCACCTGAACAGTAAACTGGACTGGTCCCTGAACACGGATGCCATCTACCCTAAAGGGGCAGAGCCGGCTCTTTTTCCTCAGGAAGCTCAGGTACTTTGACATCTGCAGTGAAAAATGCTGTACATGTTTTATGTGTCAGTGGTGGCCAGTCTACTCTTTTATGCTGAAGTCTGCTCAGCAGCATGTCAGACATGAACACAAAGAGACTGGACAAGCTGGTAAAAAAGATGGGGTCTGTGCTTGGCAGGAGTCTGGACTCACTGAGGACTTTTGTGGAGAGACGCGTGCAATTTAAGATGGAGGCCATCTTAGACAATACCAACCATCTTCTCCACAACATTCTGGCAGGACAAAGAAGCAGCTGCAGCAGCAAACGTCTCATCTCACTGCACTGCAGAACAGAGAGATTCTGGAGATTCTTTGTTCCCACTGCCTTCAGGCTATACAACGCCTCAGCCAAAGGAATTGGACTAATCTAATTATTATTATTTATTTATTTATTATTAACTGTTTTTATTATTATCATCATCATCAACGAGCTAATGGACACATGAATTTCACCTAGGGGATAAATAAAGTATCTATCGATCTTACTATCTAACTATCTATCTATCCAAATTATTTAAACACATCGACATGTCTTTGCATTTACTGATTTATCAGACAAATTAAAATATTACAGAAACTAACACTATTGCCAAATCTGGTAAAGAGTGCAATTTTCAGAAGCTTAACCATCATTTCAGAAAATGTTGATTAATGGCACATTTCTGACACACTGTTCGACTTACAAGTGATCAAGATTATATGTGATGCACTGACTGCCACTTTCACAATGTCTGCTTGCAGGAAGAAAAGCACCAGAGGAAGTCAGAACCCATACCAACCTCTGCAGACTTGAGCTGTGGTGGCTTGCCATCAAACACATAGACAGGTTTGATGCCGTGTTCCAGCATGCGGATTGTCCGGTAAAACATTCCCATCAGGTGACTGCGGAAGAGAGCAACCAGGTGGCAAATAAATTTCAGCATCATTTAGATTTGAACTACCTGGTCCAAGTTCAATCCAAGAAGTTTTGCATTTCTATTGAGTGTCTATTATGACTTCTCAGCCTGAGTTTTTAAGTCTCTTATTTGTAGGGGTCATACCTTGTTGTCTCTCCATCTTCATTCTGCAGAACATTGCCATCCTGTCGCACAGCAATCAGGAACTGATAGATGCACATGGAGGCATCTATAGCAATTTTTCTGCCTGTTAAGAAAAGCAGTTAGCAAGTTACAGTGGAAACCACATCTATTGATCATGGTTACAGTGATCAACGGCTTACATGGATCAAAAAGCTTCAAGAAATATTTCTGTGCAAATGCCGTTCAATAATTTGCTTATAGTAATCAAGTGTTGCTAACAGTAATCAAATACAGTGTTTATTTTTAGGGCTGGGTATTGCCACTGATTTCCTGAATCAATTTGATTCCAACTGTCAAGGTCCAGATTTGATTCGATTCCCGATTCGATATTGATTCAGTTAAGAGATATTTCACTTACAACATAAATTTTTCTTGGATATCAATGAGATTATCAGAGAATTACTGCTGTAAATTGTTCCTCTAACTTGGTGCATTATTAAAAACATTCATGCTTACATTATAAATGGACCCCAAAGCAGTGACAATAATGTGCTTTCTATTTAACCTGACCAACAGTTTCAACACATCTCAAGAAATAATAGATGTAACATACCCCAGTGCACCAGCTACACTGTGTATGAACAGGTACACATGGTTTATTCTTCACATCTTGCACATAGCTTTGCTTTTGTCCAGCTCTTCACTGTGTTCATCTGAAATGCAGCCACACATCTGCCTTGAGACTAGCCGCTGACTTCATTGGGACCTCATCTGTCATGTTTCTGTCTCTCTGATGTGCAGTGCTGTTTGTTTAAGCACTAGAGCGCACCTATGGTGCACTGCACGGTTGAGTTGCGGCTCGTTTCAAAGTTTATGTAACCACTATTCCTTCCAAGTTTACATTCATTTACTGACTTGTTTCGAGCAAATGAAGCCGCATTGGAAACATTCATTCAAAGGAGAAGCTGTAGGGGTGAAGCTAACAGGCTAGGCTATGAAAACGTAGCTAAGCTAACAGGCTAGGCTATGGAAACGTAGCTAAGATAGCTTTAATTTCCTGCTGCACAAACTGTCCAAGTGTGAACAGACTGGCTTTGTCATGTTTCTGTGTAAATGCATCACAGATAAAGAAACTGTCAGAAGAGTGAATGATGAATGAAAGGAGGTCCTCTGTTTTTTCCTCTTTACTACTCAACTATTTAATTCACTGGGCAGCTTAAAGGTTACCGGCAGCTACCGGCATCTTTTAAGGTGGACTGTTTTCTTGCGTGTTACTCAATGCATGGTTGGCGTTCGGAAATGACCTATACTCACCTTACCAGATCTCGTTGTGACAGCCTCACATGTCCACATGAGAGTGTAATAGACGTATATTAAAAGATCGATCTGGGGTTTCGTGAATCGATATCGGATTATTCTAAAGAAAATCGATTTTAATAGCAGAATCGATTTTTTCAACCCGGCCCTATTAGCCATATTTATTTTCATACAGTAAAACATAGGGGGGGGGGTCACCTGATACAGCATTCATACAATTTACCCAAGGGAGATGATTAAACGTTCATCTAACGTCATCAATATAAAGGAAGACATGTACCAAAGTAGTTCTTGATGTCTTGTTCTTTAATGGCACCTGGGGACTGGTCAGCAATCAGCTTGGCAAGTCCGTGTATTCCCATTGCGGTAGGAAGTCTGAAATGAAATAATCCTTATCATATTTATATTATACAAACACCCTGCCGCCTTCCACGTGCCTAAGGAACTATAAGGAACAATAAACGGCCTAGCAATTCACAACCTTTCACATTTTGTTTAGATACTAGCACGCCGATTAAAACTAGCTCATAGTGGTAGATTAGAGTAAACTATGTGTAAAGTGTGTGAATTTAAAGTGAAACAAGATCACATTCTGGCGTTAAGTTCACTGCAGCCAGAAAAGGTTGCAGAACTGCGGTAGAATGAAGGGCTGAAACCTGAGCAAAAATACATGTATTCACATATTTGCTATTAACGTTTTACAACTACTGACACTTTGAATTTCAAATGTTGAATTAGGTTAAATAGGTTAACTGTACATAACGGACTCACCAGTTAGCTGTTTCACTGTAGTTTATTGTCTTTCTCCGGTGTCTCGGGCGTAACGACCTGTCTGTTTCGCGGGAAATAAAATAGCAGGCATTGCCAGTCAATCTATCGAGTACAGCGTTCTTGCTCTTGTTTTTCTTCTTCTTCTTCTTCTTCTTCTCTTCTTCGTCTTCGTCTTCTTCTTCTGTTTGGATTTGCGGCAGACTAGATGCAACAAAGGCGTGTTGCTGCTTTCCACAGGCCATTTGTAGAATTCCATTGACCATTAAATCCTTATGTAGAGTCCAGTATGGTGGAGAAAGTTATTTACAGTTTTGTTATTTCACAATGCTCTGTACCTTCAAGAATGATCCGTAACTGTAGCTCGCTTGCACGAGGCTTTTCTTTTTTTCTCAGATTTCTCAGACTTTGCAACTGTCTTCTCCTAAAAAAAGGATGCCCAGGAATTTGAACGTTTAACTCCTTCAAACAGGTGTGTTATATAGAATGCAGTCCCGCTATCATGATTTTTTTTTTAAAAGATCAAATACTTTGACTTTTCGAGCACAACATTCTCGAAGACCCCGATGAAGTGCGCATCGATAATGCAGGTGTGATTAAACTGGTCTGAGTTCTAACAAGGAAGTCCTGGAGGGGCATTCGATTGGTTCATTGAGGCTGAAGGAAATCCGGTCAATAGGGCAAAATAATAGAGTCGTTAGGGTAGGGATGCAATCCGTTTAAATGCTGTCTTTTGGTGGCGTTAAAGCACGAAAATAAACCAGTTTCAAATAGTTTGTGAGAGGGCAGTAGCACTGGCTGCGAATAACCTGTAACGTCAGAGGTGTGTTTTTGTTTCTTCGGCCACTCCGGAAAACTTAACCGAGCCGTCGTTATTTTTATTTTTTAGGGTGACGTGGAGTCGGATGCCTTCTTCGAGACTGTCTAATGTGTCAGTAAAAGTACTCAGTGTAACAGGATATAACCTTAATGAATGCATAATATACTGGGACATTGCATTAAGGCTTTCCAAGATGTTTAGCTGTAAATCTCTACATTGAGCTCCAGTATCGGCTCACAACGGAGCAGAGAGGAGACTGTCGGGGCCTTGAGTCAGAGGAATCCGGCAGACAGACAGGTTTTGTTGGATCTGCAGCATCGGGACTGAAGTGACACAACAGTGATACTGGTAGAGCACATTTCGCTAACTTCATGTCCTCACTCATTTGCGGGCTCAAAATGAAAATGTATTGTGTATCAGTTATTAGTTTTACATGGATCAGTAGGGGTCCACATTGTTGTCACGTTTCCTTCCACAGGAGCAGCAGACAAATAGGATGGGCCCTGCGTTTTGTGGCACTTTTTAAACATTTTAACCTCCTATTGCAGCTGTAAATTGGGGAATATACTAATTTTGCCATTACTTAAATCACTAGATACAGGCGCAAAGGGCTCTTAAGCACAACTGCCTTGGCTATAGTCATCAGTCTGTTCTTAATGGTTCAGTTGATATACATTGACTTTAGAAAATATTCAGACTCCTTCACTTTTTGCACATTTTACTGTGCTATACATCTCATTTTAAAGTCTACACTCAATAACCCATAATAATAAAATGAAAACATTTTTTTTTTTTTAAATTGGCAAATATATTTAAAAAATCCAAAACTCCATTTACAAAAGTATTCAGTATTAAAGTCTTGATGTTTACAAATGACCTGTAAAAGTAATATTGGCAGCAATTACAGCCTTGAGTGTTCTTGGGCAAATCTCAACTTTGCACACCTGGATTTGTGCTGTTTACCCAATTCTTTCTGTCATCCTTTCAAGCTCTGTCAGATTGGATGTGAAGCATCTCTGAACTGTCATATTCAGGTCTCTCCACAGATGTTCTATGGGGTTTAGGTCTGGGCTTTGGCTGGGCCAGTCTCAGGTTGTGTGCACTCAGGAGTACATTTTCTTCAAGTACTTCTCTGTATTTGGCTGCATTCATCCTTCCGTCAATTCTGACCCATCTCCCTATCCCTGCTGCTGAGAAGCTCCCCATAGCATAATATGTATTATGCATAGCATAATGCTGCCATTACTATGCTTCACCATAGGGATGGTATTAACCAGGTGATAAGCAGTGCTTAGTGTTCACCAGAAATAGTGTTTGGAGTTATGGTTGATGGTGCTTCTGAGAGAGTTATCCTTAAAGCAGGTTCTCCAACCACTGCAGAGAACTTCTGAAGCTCTGTTATAGTGACTCTTAGGTTCTTGGTCACCTCCCTGAGCAATACCGTTGTTGCCCTGTGGCCAATTCAAGCAAGTGTCCTGGTGGGTCCAAACAATAAGTAACAATTATTCAGACTACTGTGCTCCTGGGAACATCTTATCAAATGAGGGTTCTTAGTGGCTGTCCTGGCACTAAAAAAATCAGAAGGTCTAACTCAACAGAGAGCCCGCCCCAAGCCACTGCCAGTTGCTCTAATCTGAAACTAGCTCACCTCTCAAAGCCTTATTTTAGTATGACCAGAAAATTAATTTGTTCTGAAGGTTACAGCATCATCAAGCTGATTTGTAAAATATGTGGTAGAGAATATGATCAACTAGATTTTAATTGCATTGCAACAGCAAAGTACAAATTTTGCATTGCTGTGGTGTTTGGTTAATAATGCTACATCTGTCCTGAGTATGAATCAAGCTTTTAAATTCCTCTTTTTAAATCCTACCTTAAAAAACAGAGATCTGTTCTGCATTTTGAGACAGTGGTAGTTTCTACACCAAGGTTGAGGACCAGCCATGTGACAAAAGTGTTGGTAGTGCTCCCTTTAATTCCAGTCAAAAAGCCCCATACACTGATGAAGCTGAAATACATTATAATTCATGTTTACACAGAGTCTCACAATTCTGAATGAGTTTTTCTCAATTTTCTGTTGTGTTCTTTGGAACATTGAAGGAGTGACGTTGAATAAAATTCAATATGACTTAGAATTTTTCACATACCAGCCCTAATTGGCAGGGACACAAGCTCATTTCTTTACTTGAAATAAGAGGCTGTAAGGCCCTGTTCAGACCTGGCATTATGTGTCTCAGGTCATCTGATCACAAGTGGACAGCTCTAAGAACAGGTGTGAAGGCACCCAAGATCTGATCACTCAGACCAAATTCAAAGGTGGTTTGGGCCGAATGTGGCCAAATTCTTTTAGTTGTGTTGGCAAAAGTGTCCTGGGCCACATGGAGGGACCCCCTACTCAACTGACGTCCTCTGCCACAGTGTAATTAGTCCCACCACAGATTTTAAAGAAGCTACACTGACTACAACATATTGATTTTCTATTTTATTTTTTACTTTTTAAGTGGCTAAAACCTTATTTAATTATAAAGCTGTGTGCAGTGCATTGATTTGCTCACCCCCTCCTTGCCCCCGCTCGCTCTCTCTCTCACATTGACAACAGACCCATTTGTTCATAGTTGGACTGGTCAAAACAACAACACATTTGGTCTTTGCAAACAGAAGTGATGTACGTGTTTATTTGCATATTGTGCGGGGAAGTAAGATCCATTCACAAGAGGTCTCTCAAGACTCTTGAAGTGTCAACTGATGCGCATACAGCTGTCCACTTGTGATCGGATCTCTCAAGATGTATTTGATGCCAGGAACAGGGCCTATGTGTCAGAACATACAGTCTAGTTTAAATCACACCTGTTCCTGATGAATTATCCATCTTTGCAGCAGGGGTTATGCAGTGTGGAGTAGGACAACTGTCTGGTGGCTGCCAGAAGACAATGGGACTGCACTGCATCTTGATCCTGTGCTTGTTCTCAGGCTGGATAGTGGGCTACAAGCAGGGGGACAATGTGACTCTCTATGTCAACAAAGTGGGTCCTTATCATAACCCCCAGGAGACATATCACTACTACACCCTGCCTGTTTGCAGGCCAGAGAAGGTCGGTCTAAATTCTGTTTTACAGTGTATCGCCCAAATTTACAATAGTAGTACATATTTCCCACCATAAAAGGAATATGGTACTTCAACAGTGATGAAGTGTGATTGTAGCCAGCTGCAAAGTTTTGGTTTGCATGCTATAACTTCTTCATAGCATTATGTGCTGTTTGAATTCACTTGATCAGAGAATTATGACCACCTAATGCTTTGTGCTCCCTTTTTACACCTTGTAACATATATTGTATCACTTCTTCTCTAGGTACACCATAAGTCCCTGAGTCTGGGAGAAGTGTTGGATGGTGACAGGATGGCAGAGTCGTTATATCTCATCCGATTCAGAGAAAATGTGGAGAAAAAAACTCTTTGTCAGCTCACTCTTTCAGAGAAACAGGTTTGTATTTACACAAGTAGGGTATAGTTTTGAACTTAACACTGTATATTAGCAGACATCTTAGTTTAAGTGACAATGCACTCATCTCATAGGTGATTGAAATTGTTTATAATTTATTAACTAACTTGATTTTAAATTGAATTTCCTGTATCAATTAGTCCCTGGTTGATGGGTGTTGCAAGACAAGGACCATTTAGTACAACAACTTTCTAAAATCTTGTAAAGTTCAACTTTATAATTTTTTTTATCATTATTAACCAATTCTTCAAGTACATTGTTCTCTTTAATGTGCTAATCTATTGTAATTTAGTTTTAAAAAATTGTGAGTATAATTCAATTAAAATGCAAATTTTCCCTCTTCACAAATGTAAGATAATGGAACTGAAACTTTTATTTAGATATTTGAAGTTCTTGAGGTGTTCTTCTTTTTGTTACATACCTCTTATAAGGCCATATTATTTTGTGAGTTGGAAGATATGTATTGGTATCGGGATTTAATGCTCTAATGCTCGGTGTGTGCTGTCACAGCTGAGAACCTTTGTATGTTAAAACCTGGTTTGGATCCTGAAGAAAAGGGCAATGTAGCAGAGCAGGATCATCAGAGATGTTTCATTGAATTAGGGCCACAACACCATTAAGCTTCCACCACAGCTTCATTAATATATCAAGCTGACTTGTATATTATTTCCTCAACAATTCTAATAAAAATAAATCATTAAAAAATTGGTTGTAATGGAAGCTGTAAAATTTAAAACACACAAAATGTGATCCATGGATTGTTTTATGTGTGGTAGGTGGACCAGCTCCGTGAGGCTATTGAGGAGCTGTACTACTTTGAATTTGTCCTGGATGACATTCCAATTTGGGGGTTTGTGGGATACATAGAAGAGAGCGGCTTCCTGCCTCACAGCCACAAGGTAAACCTGTTGTGCTTCTGAAAGTTTGTGGGATATGTGAAGTAGGCTGAAAATTGCTAAAGAAATACACAGAATGAGACTGTAAGTTTTGTTAAAGTTTCATCTTTATGCAAAGGTCTTGTCTCAGCTGAACCAAATTGAATGTCAATCTCCATTTGTCATCCATCCTACCTCTCACACCTCTCTTTCTTTTTCTCTTTTTGTTCTGTCTCTCTCTGTCTCCCTTTCTTTCACTTCCACCAGGTGGGTTTGTGGACTCATCTAGACTTCAACATCGAATACAACGGCAACTCAGTGATCTTTGCTAATGTCTCAGTAAAAGACGTCAAACCTGTTCCCTTGGAGGAGTGGGTGGGTGCAGGAGTGGGTGGAGTTGGTTTGGGTGGAGGAAGCCTGACCGTCACCCACACTTACAGTGTACGGTGGTTTGACTCCCCTCTACCTCATGCCCGGAGAGCTGAGCGTCTCCGAGACTACTCGTTCTTCCCCAAAACACTGGAGATCCACTGGTTGTCCATCATTAACTCACTGGTGCTGGTGGTGCTGCTACTGGGCTTCGTCATCATCATCCTCATGCGGGTCCTTAAGAATGACTTTGCCAGGTAAGTAAGCAAAGCAGCTTAAAACGGTAAGTTCTTTTGATGGTGATTGGTCTCATGTATTTAAAACAAGACATGTTTTTTTTTTTTGTTGTTGTTTTTTTTTTTTTTACGTGGGCACGTCAAAAACTTGTTCCTACGCACAAGTGCACCTACGGAGTACACTGTATTATGCCACTTTCTGATTCACTCAGCTGACCTGTGTCAAGAATGCGGGCACAGCTCTCACTTTGGTTAAACAGGGACGACTGGCTCGTAGCAATGGGCCCGGTACCCTATACTCCTCCAGTACCCCCCACAGGGCCCCCTGAGGGACACGGTCATAAGCCTTCAACAAGTCCACAGAACACATGTAGACTGGCTGGTCATACTCCGGTCGGCGCCTCCTTTCCTTTGACCTGAGCTTCTCCCCATCTATGTCCCCGAAGACCTCCTTTTTCTGATTGAGGGAAAGTTTTAATGTTACTGGTGATCCAGGGTTCGAAAAGCATTGCACAGTCCTTGCTGGTATTACAGTGGCCATACAGAAGTTAATGGAGTCTGTGGTGTAGTCAACCATTCTATCAAGGTCAGTGTCCTTGCTGGTATCATTTTCCTGTGACTCCAACAGTACATTCCAATCTGTGTACTCAAAACAGTCTTTTAGAGACTTACTGGCCTCCTGGGTCCAATTCCTGAATGAGCTGGTGGTTGCAGGGTTCGTAGGAAGGCTGAAGAAAAAACAGATTATGATCTGATCTGCCAAGTGGTTGTAGAGCTGAAGCAGTGTAAGCCTCCTTTACATTTGCATACACCAGATCAAGTGTCTTATTTTCCCTTGTGGGACAGTCAACGAACTGAGCGAAGCCAGTCTGGTGAGAGGTGACATAGTTAAAATCCCCCGATATTGCAATGAATGGACCAGGGTGCTGGGTCTGTACCCGTGAATGTCGTCACATGTGACAACAGTTGACAGAGTTGACATTTCGATGGTAGTATATCTCCATCTCCTAGCCTTTAGCTTCGCCCCGGCTCAGCATCCCCAGTACGGCTTCTTCAGATCAGTCAGTATTGGCTGTTTAATTCCATATCTGGTACACTTTAAAGCCAGGAGATCTTCCTTCATGTTCATTATTTTGTCCATCATCAGACGAAAGACCAACATACATAAAACCAGCGTATCATTCGAATTATGAGTTTGTTATGGCCAACTATGACAAGCACAGAAGTCCAATAACAAAGCACCACTCATGTTCAGATCAGGGAGGCAGTTCCTCCCAATCACGTCCCTCCAGGTTTCTCCGTCGTTGCCCGTTTCCAGGACACCACCCAGACACCCCAAGAAGGCCTGGTACAGACCACATTGTTTCACTGGGGGCTGGTTTCCCTTTTCTTGGCGAGGTGTCGCATCTCTTATAAGGTCTCTTCATTGATGGTTTTATGAATCGCTCTTAATCTGGCCTTCCCCTGGGACCAATTTGCCTCTGGAGATCCTACCAGGGGCAGTTGCCCCCGGCAACACACCTCCCATGGTCTCCGGGACACACAAACCTCTCTACCACCTTAAGGTGGCGGTTCTCTGAGATCTTAATTGGCATTGTTAATTGATGAGTTTTAAATTTGGTTGTGTGTTGAACATTTAATTTTGAGAATTTTGAGGATTTGGCAATATTTTACAAAAGCTAAATATGGCTGACTGGTATGATCCTTTAAACTGTTGTTAGAAGTGTATACATGAAAGGGAGAGTTTTCCTGTGGCCTTTCTGTTTGTGTGGAACCCAAGATTACATCCTGGTTGAAAACACTTTTCCCTCACCCGCAGGTACAATGTGGAGGAGGAGAGTGGATGTGATGATGTGGACCAGGGAGACAATGGCTGGAAGATCATACACACTGATGTCTTCAGGTTTCCCCCTTACAAAAGCCTGCTGTGTGCTGTTTTGGGAGTGGGGGCTCAGTTCCTTACCCTCGCCACAGGTGAGCATTTGTTCTCAAATACACTAATACAGCAACACAGCTTTCTGAACACCGCTGACCCATAGCAACAGTCTTTGTATTGAGCACCAGAGTGCTAAAAGAACCAGAAACCTGATAATGATATATGCACACACTTCATATGCACAGACCTCAGATGCAAGAGTCTGATCACCCTAATGTTTCTTCATTGCTATAGGGATCATCGTCATGGCATTGTTGGGAATGTTCAATGTGCATCGTCATGGTGCCATCAACTCAGCAGCTATCGTCTTGTACGCTCTGACCAGCTGTGTGTCAGGGTACGTCTCTTGCAGCTTCTACACACAGATCAACGGCCAGCACTGGGTGTGGAACATCATTCTCACTTCATCTCTTTTCTCTGGTGAGTCTGATAAGAAGGGTTTGTGATGAAGTTCATAGAGCACTTGTACATGTTCAGGTCATTGTGTCAGTATGTATGTGCACTAGTGCTGTCAAAATTGACCAAAAATGACATTTGATTATTCTTTCTAAAAAACATACACACATCGGTTTGAACCATTCGAATATCTATTTTTGCTCATATCCAAAAGAGAGCAAACCAATACAACATCACAACATAACCACTTGTCTAGGTGAATATTTTCAAGACGTTTCCTCACGTTGCTAGTACTGAAATGGTAGGTTAACTGTAGCTTAAATAGCTTGCATACAACTTTATCTTGAGGGTCCACAATTCTGCTGTCTACTGACTAAAATCCAAAGTATTTCTAAATTTGTAACTTCTGTCTGTGGCTGAGTTGGGTTGTGAATTCCCTGCCATCATTACCCCACAGAATTATTTGCTTGTTTTCCCTTTCATTTTCAATCATCTGCTGTTGTGTGAGTCCTCTCTGTCATGAAGTGTATTCAGTGCAGACTCAGGCTGACATGCTAAGTTGCAAGGCAGACAGGCGTGGTACTGCTCCTTTTTTTTTCCACAATTGACTATTGATTTTCACAATCAATTATCTGTTTCTTTTTCTTTCTTTTTTTTTTTGTAATTTGATTATATTCATTGATAACCCTCATGTGCTCTTCCTGAGTGTCTTCAAACAAGGTGGTACGTACACTTTTTAGTGGCATTCTGTATGTTGTTATCTCTCCACCTCTCTGCTGAAGAGCAATCAAATTATTTCTCAACTTCATTAGTTTCTTTGGAAAAGCATGTTGACTCTATACAGTTTACTCATATCTATACTCACAATCATCACATACTTTTTCCTACAACTTTTTCTCCCATGGTTAATTTGAACATGGTCTCTTAACCATATTAATGTACCTATAAGTAACTTCAGAGTACTGAAACTTTATTTCATCAGTAATGGATTCAAATAAACTAATTTCTGCTGACAGCTTGATGTTTTCTCTACACTATTATTTTGTTTATCCCTTTAGTCAATCTGTCAACTAAAAAAATGAAGCCTTTTTCTCAAGAATAAATATCACCAACAATGATGCTGGCTGCCATTTCACTTTGCTACTTTTTATTTGTGTACAATTGTTGTAAACATCAACTTTTACTTTGAGCTGAAACATTTAGAAAAGAAACTGGAATGATTTTACCCAAGCCTAATGGCTTACCCATTTTCAGAATTAGGCTGGATAGGTAGAGTAACTCTTCTGTATTATATTCTGTGCAAAGCTGACAATGCTGCTCTACTCAGTTAGTGATTTATTTATTTACCAATAAGATATTCATAACATTTGCATTTTGTAGGAGTACTTTGTTCAGGTTCAGGAAGGTGTTTTAAAAATATTTTTCTGGCACATAATATTATGTGGTCTTATTAAGTAATTAAGCTGCCTTATTTCATTGTATTTTCATAATTAAAAACACTGATGTAATTGGCCATTTTATTTAGAATTATCTAGCCTAATTAAAAACAATCCCTCTCCGTCACTTGGTCATTCATTCCCACAGCTCCTCTGTTCCTGACGTGGAGTGTAGTGAACTCAATCCATTGGTGGAGTGGTTCCACTCAGGCTCTGCCGGCCACCACAGTTCTCCTCCTGCTGGGTGCTTGGGTGCTGGTGGGCTTCCCCCTCACCGTCATTGGAGGTATTGTGGGAAAGAACAGAGCCGGCAGCTTCCAGGCACCCTGTCGCACTCGCAACATCTCCAGACAGATCCCTACACAGCCCTGGTACAAACACACAGCTGTGCACATGGCCATTGGCGGCTTCCTGCCGTTCAGGTGAGTTGTCCTCGGGTGTGGAAAGGTTAAGCTTTATTTAAGGGAAAACTGAATAGCATTAAATGTTTCCTCTACATTCTGTATATTCTTAGGGCAGAGAAGTAAAAAAGTTTAGTACAGAATAAACACCGGAGGTAAAATGGCATCATATTTAAGGCTTCACTCTAAATTACAATTAATAATCAATAAAAACTACTTTTAGTGGAACAGGATGCCCCACAATCAGATTTTATTTATCAAGAATTAGTGTAGGATCATTTATTGTAAAATATCATTGAGGGACCATTGAGCTTTAAGGATTTATCTACCCCAATAGAAAATGTTGAAAGTAAAGCCTCTTGAATTCCTATTCATTACACTAATTCCTCCTTTCCATCAATTTTCTTTCTCAGTGCCATTTCAGTGGAGCTGTACTACATTTTTGCCACAGTTTGGGGCAGAGAGCATTACACCCTCTATGGCATCCTGCTGTGTGTCTTCGCAATCCTCCTCTCAGTGGGCGCCTGCATCTCTGTGGCCCTCACCTACTTCCTGCTGTCAGGTGAGGACTACCGGTGGTGGTGGCGGAGTGTATTGAGCACAGGTTCCACAGGCCTCTTCATCTTTGTCTATTCCATTTTCTACTACCGGAACCGGTCTTCTATGAGTGGCCTGGTTCAGAGCACAGAGTTCTTTGGCTACTCTCTGCTCACAGCGCTTGTCTTCTCGCTGATGCTGGGCAGTGTGTCATTCTGGGCCTCATTGGCATTTATTCGCTACATCTACCGTAGCCTCAAGATGGACTAGACATGAAATGTGCATACACACACACAGCTCTAAACAAACATTTCGTCATAGCACACATGGACAATCTTCATTCTCCTCTCTTGCTCTTTCAGTCATACACACACACACACCTGCACTGTTATGGTGTTAATGGGAGGAGAAACAGAAACAGGGGCCTTTACCTTGATTTTACAGGAGCTACTGAACTACTGGAGCTTTCATTGTTGGAATAAGAAATGGATGGGTGGATAGATAGATGGATGAAAGGCAAGTAGGGGAGGGGGCTATTTCCATCAGTAGGGGATGTGTAAAATGCACAATGAGATCCGAGTGAGTGGAATTAATATTGTATGATGCAGTGTGGCATCATCTGCTCTGGTTCTTACTTCACGGTCTATCAAGGCTTAGCAGGATCTACACATTCTTTACAGAAAGTTTTGTCAGGCTATTCAAGTAAAAATAGCAGATATTATGTTTTGCACTAGTCCTGCTAAGCTCATGGCCCTGCAGTGCATAAGGACTGTTGATACCTTGTAGATTCAAGAGCTGTTGCAAACCGTGGGTGATGGGAGCAATATTGTCATTGTTATGTTATTGGTCCCCATTGACTGTGATTTTGGTTCTACTGTAAATATTGTCTTTTCAATAAAGTGCTTTTTAATACAATGATGCCAGCAAACAACTCTGGGCTGATTTTTTTTTTTTTTTTTTTAAAAAACCAAGACTTTGTATTTTTCCCCTTTATTTTATAAGGGTAACACTAACCTAAATTGTGTTAGCTAAAGATGCTACACTTTTCATGTCCAACGCTTTTTTGAGCTGTTGGACATGTTTGATGCATATCTACTGCCTCCTAGTCTTGATAGCTAGTATTGGAGTATGGCATTTAAAATTAGCTGCTAATAGCAAAACTATCACACCATGTGTATCATACTCTATTCAATCACAAATTAGAGAGGAGTAATGTGAATGTATGTTATCAAGGTCACCATGTTATGCTTACAGCAAAACATTCAAAGTGAAATGAAGACAATTTTTCAAGTTTAAGTGAACTTGTATTTATAATAAAAAAAATAAAAAAATAAAAATGTGTAGCATATCAGACCTGTATCAGTACTTTGCCTTTTAAAAAAAAACAAAAACAAACAAAAAACAATGTAATACAAAGAATGCATCCAACGTGGACTCATCTAGTATCACCAAGCGCAAAGAACACACCAACATACCTTAAATAGTTGCATATAAAAATAAAACTTCAAGATCAAACAGTAAAATAATTTTGAACAGTATGTGTATGAACAAGGCATATGTACACCAGCCAATCAAAAAAAAAAAAAAAAAGACCTCAGTTAATTACAAACTACATTCACATTTACAAACAGTAAAGATGGCTGTCAGGTAACATTTACAGAAATGCTTATGAGCTCAAACAACTGCTTGCTGGAATGATGTACTATGGCTGTGTTTAAAGACTTTCAGCTGTCGACAGGCTCCTCATCTTTGGTTTCAAAGCTCATATCATGCCCAGTGTTACTTGCAGATAAGTTGAATACATTGGGACTGTATTCATACTGGCTGACACCTGGGGGCATGGACCAGCCAGTTGCCTGGGGCCTTGTGGACACTGCAGTCTGGGATGAAGTGGACGACCAGGAGTGGTACCCAGGAGGTCCAGCGGCACTGCCCATAGCAGCCAAATAAAAGGCCACGTTCTGAGGAGCAGTCTTCTTTAAGGCTGCCTCCACTATGTGCTGGTTGTAATGCTCCTTGAGCTGGGGTTGGGCCTCTCCCTGATACTGCAAGATAAAACATTCTAGTAATAGTATCAAATTCATATAGTGATCTATATGACGACAATATATTGTTTGATTGTTTTTTGTCTTCACTTTGAGGGGCCATAACCAGGCTATCATTAGGCCTTCATTAAAAGACATCTTGCCCTATGCCCAAGCCTGGTTCTCAGTTATCAGTTAAAAAGAAACCTGGGCAGGACAATGAAAGAATAAAGGAAAATGCATTATTCACAATCCAGTGAAATGCATAGTTCTTGTTCAGAATTACATGAACAAAATATCTATTTTAATAATAATTGCATATGAACAAATTTTAATTACTACAAATAATGGGAGCTACTCACAGATGGGATATGTGAGGGAATGTTGGTGTATATGGTTCCATTAAGTGGGCTGTCCTTGTTGATTGTATAGCGCTCAGACACCCAGCTGGTATCTTTCTGATGCCTTCTTAGCTTCATCCTTCGGTTTTGAAACCAAGTCTTCACCTAGAAACTCGAGGGAGATCCCAGCTGATCACAGAGTGAACATGAATTCAATTTTGTTGTGCTTGTTATCCAACAAACTTCTCAAATTCCTCACCTGTTTGTAGGTCAGTCCTGTCATTTCCGCCAGGTTCTTCATTTCAGCTGGGGTGAGGTACCTCTGCACGCTAAAGCGCTGGACAAGAGCATTCATCTGACTCTCTGAGAAGGCAGCCCGGACCTTTCCTTTAGGGTTATTTCCAACAGTATTACTTAGCTTATTAGTGGCAGTTAAGGGTACGTGTAAAGAGGGGATGTTGTTGGTGCTTTTATTCCTTGTGACAGCAAAGGTCTGTGGCTCCTCCACCAGAGAGCTGGAAACATCCTTGCTGGCAGTGGAGCTCCTGCTGCCTGCCTCGTTGCCAAGATCTTTCTTTGTCCATGTAGCAGAGTCTATCTGGGGCAGACTTCCTCCTCTGCTACTGCTAGAACTCCATGGCTCTAAGTGAGGGGGAACAAACAATGACTTAAGTAAGCAAGTCTACATGGTCAAGAGGGATCATAACATTCATTTGTCTAAGTATGGAGTTTTGTTTTTCAGCTGAAGTTCACAAAAGAGACCATTATAGTCATCATTATAGTACATTAAAGTTTGTATACAACAGGAAAAAAAACAAAAAACATCTCATTGAACTTCATTCCTTAGATTAATTAATTTTGTTGTATTGGCACAAGTCTCAAATTCTGTCACAGGATATAGACACTTGGCTTCTGCCAAGTAAAAAAATAAAAATAAAAAAAAATAAAAAACTGTGGCAGAATATTTGGAATATTCAATTAAAGCCAAGAAGAAATTGAATTGGACTGAATAACCAATTCTGGAGGAAGAAATCGTCGCTTCAAGCATCCAAAGGGGAGATGCAAGCACTGGCACAAGGCCTCAAGTTACAGGTAATTGTGAAAGTTGCTACAGGGCCACAGACGTTGGCCGAGTTTCTCTTATATTATAACCTCCTTTATAAAATGTGGTTCAGAATTTTAAACCTGGTGAGGTGTGCGGCTCCGAGTCGCTAGTTGAATCGCTCCCTGCTCGCCTGACCCCATGTGCCCGTGCATCGTAGGCAGCCCGGTGTGGTCTGGCCCGGAACAGACGGCCTGCCTGGGTGTCACCGAGGTACACCACCCCGGAACCCTGGTAGTGGTGATGGCCGTTTACGGCATGCTGCTCCGGACTGCCAGGTGGAGACTCGTCCCGGGTCCTGGCGGTGGTGGCGTAGTAGGCCTGTGTTACCCCGGTGTTGTAGTTGTTCAAGTCCGTGACTCCGGCTTCGCCCCAGCAGGTCAAGTTCCCCTGGTTTTGCTCAGGCGCAGGTTGGTACATAAGGCCATAAGCATAGGCATGGTAAGAGGGGTTGTAGTTGTAACTTATCTGCGCCTTCCAGTCTGCCATTTCTCAGATTTTGAGCGTAGCGATAAAAATGTAAAAACAAAATACAAGATACGGTCAAATATTGTTGTCAAAATTGATTAAACTCAAGCGAGACAAACCCACATGAGCTAGGGGGCAAATTAAGGCAAGCCAATTAACTGCAAAAACTTAAAGCACTCTCCCAGAGCCTGTTTATAAAGGTAGCTGTGGGTGTGGGCAAGAATGTAGGTGTGTGTTTTCATTTGAGCCAATCTCCATGGGCAGCAGTAAATCCATTTTATTGGCCACGTAGATCAATTTGCTATTTTTTACTTTTGGAGCCAATAAAAAAAGTTAAACATTAAAAGGTTCCTTAAAAACAACCATTTTACATTAACCCTCTTCTTTAACACTGTCACTGAAGGGGCTTTAAATTCAAAATGTTCATATATGATATAGGCCTACTGAATATGTAGAATTACTTATATTATTATATTATATATAATTATCTTGATGTCTAGATTGCATGGTTGTACCCACCTCTGAGGTCACTGGTGTCCAGACCTCAGTCTTTTTTCAGAGTTGCATAAAATAAAAGTAATGAAATGATTGTCTAAAAAACTCCATTTAAGTGTTGTGAAGATATTGTACAACGCCAAGATCACCGACTTTCTAATCTGATCACATCATTGCTTGCTTCTCACCAGAAATGCATGCCAATTGCGCACAGCTAAATTGGAAACTACCAGACATTGTAATGATTTCTAAGGCAAAGTACGGCTTGAAAACATTACAACATCTTTATCGGTTTTATAAATGATTATCCAGGGTCTATAGTTTATGAAAGTTTAGAGTTGTTAGACTCTAGCATTCTTGAAGTGCTTCTTCTGAACATTTCTGAAGGCCGGCTCTTTTCTATTCTTGATCAGTGAATTTGTATAGGCACAGCATTTTAAACCGTTATAGAAAATTATTCTGTAGTGAGGTTTTCAAATGTGGACCATTGAATAGATGTGAAAGTCAGTACAGTCAGTAGACTATTTTTGATTAAATAATGTAGGCAGATAGCACTGATAGATTCCTCGCTCAGATTTACTTGATGTGTCCTTTCTGAGTGTAAGTGGTGGGTGCACTGCTGATTACAGCTGTTGACCAGTGCTTAAGGTATTAGGTAATAATTAAAAATTAAAATTGTCAAGACGAAATGGTCCAAATAGCTCATAGCCTATATTGAGCCATTTGATTCTAAAGTCCATGTGGATGCCGGTGTTTTGCATTACATCCCCCCCTTTCTCAGACCAAGTGAGTGTTGGATGTTTGAAATTCACACTGTCAAGCTAAAATGGCCGAAAAAGGAACGTCTATTCATTCATGCACTTGGTTCATTGTTAAGCGTTGCTGTTTTTTGAGCTGCCAAGATTTTCATCCCTGGTTTTTTAGCCAAGATGAATGTTATATCAACCCAAAATTCACAATGATAAGCTAACACAGTCCGAAATATAATGTGGATAACATTATTTGATACTGAAATGTCTGTAATGAAATACAAGCAGGGGGTACATTATTTGGCATGGCTTATTTTGGAGCTGCTGAGATTTGCATCCCCTGGTTTTTTAGCCAAGATGAATGTTATATGTATGAAATTCACCGTGATAAGCTAAAACAGCGTGTCTGTATTGAAATACAAGCAGGGGGTACATTATTTGGCATGGCTTATTTTGGAGCTGCTGAGATTTGCATCCCCTGGTTTTTTAGCCAAGATGAATGTTATATGTATGAAATTCACCGTGATAAGCTAAAACAGCGTGTCTGTATTGAAATACAAGCAGAGGTGCATTATTCGGCATGAAAGTGGTCTGATCAAAAGAATTAAGTGTTCAGTGAAATGTTTTTTTGTATGTTTGTCTGGTTAAGGGGTATATTGAACTCTGGTCCACACTCCAACATAGGTGGCAGTAATGCGCCTCAACCCTAGTTGCCACCTACCATATAACGGAAAAAGAAGAAGAGGAAGAAGGAAGTCCTAGCTGTAGTCCAGGTGGAAGCAGGAATGATGCCACTTCATTTGAGAAGACACCAGCTAACAGATGTGTATTGGACATCACTGAAAGGAGAAGGTTCCCATCCCACAAAATAAAATTTTAGGAAAAGTTGCTTTTATTGGGAAGGAGACAAAATTGCAGATGAGTTGATTCTCAAAACACATACAGTAAATACAACCCAACAGTATTTTTTGCAGCAATTCTTTTATGGATTTTATGGATTTCACTTCTGGTGATGGAAAGAAATAATATCAAATATAACTTCAGAGAGCAGGTTGATATTATGGAAAGACCATCTGGATATATACAGACGGGTCAAAACATGGAATCAGGTGGGGTTGGAGCATGGTTTGTAATAGGCTACCAAAATTAGAAATATCAGAATCTAAAAGGGTTTCAGATCATATTGTGGTATTTGCAGCAGAGATGACAGAAGTAGTAATCTTGCTACAATGGAGGCAAACTAGACAAGAAGAAATAGTAATTACCTGTTCAGATTCAAGTTAAGTACTAGTAAGTAACAACCACAAAACAAAACCACAGATCAAGCAGCCAGTATACTTTACGAAGCACTTCTGCTATATTCCCACATAGTGGAAATAGGGATGCCAATTAAATTTGTCTGGGTTCCAGCACATGTATGGGCATAAGTGGGCAATGAAGCAGCAGACAATGTGGCTAAACAGGCATTAAACAGGAACAAGGTGGAAGTGGTAATTAGCAAAATGAAGCAAATATGATAGTAATATCAAAAAAGAAAAATAATACTCAAGACAAATCCAAAGGGTTTCTGGGTTGTACAATATCCTGGTGAAAGCCTCTTACAGACCTCTCCTTTTAGGTAAACTGTGGAGAAAGGACTTTATCCCAATTCCTGGAACAACTGGAAAGTTGTATGGACCAATTTATCCTTGTCATCAAGAAACCCAAACCACCAGATGATACATTATAACGGGGGTTATCTCCCTCCCCACAGGCTTCACCAAATAAAAAAAAGAGCAGACCCCTACTGTTCCTTTTGTACAGATGACACCATTGGCACATTTATTCATATGATTTGGGACTGCCCAGAGGTCAGAACTTTTTGGAAAAGAGTGTTCTGTATTCTCTCCACTCTGTTGAGGCTACAGATTCCTAAATCACAGGACATACTACTCCTCAATCATACCTCAGCACAGAAGCTAAACAAAAGCAGACATTTACTTTTCACTGGGCTCACTGCAGCCAAAAGGATGGTGGTCAAACCCCTGCACTCCTTATCAATTAAAGAATGGCTATAAGCATTCAGAGAGACTGACCAACTAGAGCTTTCCTTTGTAAGGTTCAAAGCATCAAAACCCCAAATATTACAGAACTGCAGGAAAAAAAATCAGACAATTCCTCAAAGTTACATGAATTTCTGGTATTTGCTATGTGTTATACCCATGTGTATGTGTATACATCTGGGTATTTAAATGCCTGTATATATGTAGGTATACATGCGTATGCATATGTATGCATATATGTATGTATATGTGTGCATATATGTATATGTATATATATGCCTTTTTAATGTGTATATGTGGGTGCAGAAGGTGCAGGGGCCCATGCATGCATGCATGCACATATATATGTGGACATATGGGTGCATGTACAGATTTGATATTTCAATGGTATGAAACAACTTGAATTGACTTTATCAATAATCTGGGGTGGGGAATGGGGATAATGGGAATTTGGGAATAATTTATTATTATTATTATTATTATTATTGCTATTTTTTTATTTTGTTCATATTTTGTAATTATTATTATTACTTATTATTTATTTTATATTATTCTTATTATTTTTTGTTATGTAATTTTTTTTCTCTTTGCATGCTTGTAGATGGAGCTGGGGAGCTCTCAATATACTTGCACACTTGACTTACTACATTTTGCATATATTTCATCTCTCCAGTAATATTTTGTGTTGTTACTTCCTGTCCGTTATGCAATAAATAATTGATGACAAAAAATAAAAAAGAAGTCTCTACATATAGGGACACTGAGACAGGAAGACACTTGTATAATGAGCAGAGTCATGAGAAACAAAGACAATAGGTAAAAAGAGAGGAAAAGAAATTACATTCTCAAGGTTAAGAATAGGACATGCAGGGTTAAATGCAACTATGCACTTAATGGGAAAACACAACACAGGGCAGTATGAAGGATGTAAAGAGAGAGACAGAGGTGAACATGTATTAACAAGATGTGGAAAATATCAAAGGGCCAAAGAAAATCAGCAAAAATGTAGAAACGGGAGAGTGCAAGAGACAAGTTTAGAAAAATTGTTACATGTAGATATAAAAGACAGTAGGGCAGCAATCATTCGTTTTTTCAAAGAGGCTGAAATAAAAAATAAAATTAAAAAAAAATATATTTGATAGTATGTGTGTCTGTATTTATAAATGAGCGCATGTAATTGAACCTTGTGCGGAATGGAAACTGCTCATCCCTTTGCAGCGTTTTTGCAGTTTTCGCTCCAGCCAAGTAGGTGGCGGTAATACACCTAATTGTTGGATGTCAACCACCTCACCAAAGAAGAAGTAGTAGTAGTAGCAGTAGTAGTAGTAGTAGAAGAAGAAGAAGAGGAAGAACTGTCCGGTTCCGTCCCACGTGCAGGCAGTTGAACCGTTAACAGATCAGACGGAAATCGAACCTGTTAGTATTCAGCTCCTAGGTTCGATAACTAAAAATAAATATCCGACAATTTCGAAGTGAATTTTCACGGCTAACTCGATAGCTAGCGATTGAACCTGTCCACGGGGACATCGCTAGTACCTACACCGCGAAAGGACAACTAGTCTGTCTAGGTTTATTAGGAATATTAACGTTAACAGAAGCTGATACCTCTGAGCTATCGAGATGCCAGCGGAACTTGAGAAAATTCTTTTACAGCTTACACAGCCCGACAATGCAGTTATTCAGCAGGTGATGCCACATTAACTTTGTTCACGTTCGCAGTAGTTTGTAATCCAGA